CAGTTTTGACCAAGGAAAAGGGTAAGAACGTTTGTTCGTCTTGTCGAAGGATAACACTTAAATGAAAGACAAAAAGTAAGGATTACACCATGCCGTTATAATATTTTGAACTATTCTATTTCCTGATACTGCTACTGGTGGGACAGAGATGATAACAAAAACCTACTCAGAAATCATTTGCTGAGACAGAAGCTTTACCTGGACCTGGTAGTAGATGCATGCAAGTACAACTGACAAGGCTGAACAAATATGTCCAAGAAAGGGAGCTCACTTTCTTGTGGCTTTCAAAAATTTTCTCAGTGATTGAAGAATCAGAAAAAAATCTGCCTTGAAGATAAATAAAACCCTCCTTTTCAGTGTTGGCAGACATTTCCTTTAACTGAAACAGGTCAAAATTTTTATCCATTTAAGATGGGAGGAGGGGAAGAAGAGTCTTTCTGGAAAAGCATAACACAATGTCACCAACGTGTGATAATCAAACCAGTGCCTCTTCCAGACCTCTTTGGAACAGGTGTCACATGACAAACTTCCAAACAGCTGGTTGATTTGTGAACAAGGCAGATAAGAAGGGGAAGGCAGGGTTCAGGTGCTCAGAGGGCTGCACCAGCTCCCTGCAATGAGTGAAACCTCCCAGTAATGCCATGCCTTGAGTCAGGACTTCCTTGCTACCAACATCAACTGAATGGCAGAAGGTCCATTTGGTGGTGATGGAATGGGTGCTTGCCAGGTATCCAAACTACCTCTGGATGTCTGGCAGTGAGTTAGTTGTCCTGGTTTATGACAGCTTCACAGGACTTTTGTCTGCCCAACTGAATGAACTTACTGCAGAAAGGAGCTGAAGGTAACCAGATCAACATTTGTTTAGTAAGCTACTTTTTAAAGCTTTGGTAGTCTTTAGATAGCTTACAGCACACTCAGCCTATTATATCATCAGCGTTAAACTTTAAGCTCTTCAGTGTTATGAAAGGCAAGAATTGGCTCAGCTAGAAAATACCATCTTAGCCTCAGCCATCTGCTTTCTTGGTCTGCTCCTCAGCTTCATAGCATTTCTGGACTTAACAGACAGTGAGTAGGCAATATGAGCTGCTGCTAGAGTTCATGAGTGAGAGCCATTTGCTCTGATGCCTTTGTGTTTGCATAGGACTGTTTGCATCCTGTTTGTTCAATGAATAAGGAAAGTTTGTCTGCAAGAAAACCAAGGATACTGGACCAGCTACTGCCATGCAGGGAAAGCAAAGAGATGCAGTTGAGAAGAGGCCTTATCTCCTTACGCCTGCACTGCACCATGGAGCCTTTTGCATACTTGCACAGATGGTTCAAAAAGCTCTAGCACTGAGTATCTAAATGAATATTCTTTCCTGCAGAAGAAATAATAAAATAATAAAGAAATAATAAAAAAAATTCTGCAGTTATATCTGGTGCTTTTCCAATCAGTAAAATTGGGAACTCACAAGCACACAATGCATTGGAGGACAATCATTGTCCCTCACTGGCTCTGAAAATCAACCCTGACAGGAAGGCTGCAGGGCATGGGAAATGGGGGTGCCTCACAAAGGAGAGATAGCCAGGCTTCCTCTCTCCATACACACTTCCTTTTCAAAGCCAAGCAGTCTCTGGCAACCTCAAAAAATTGCAACATTCTCATTGGTCTTTTTTTGTGTTATTATTAGAATAATTATTTTTACACCAAATATGCTGACTTCAGCCTCTGTAACTATAGCCTAAACATGGCAATCACAGAAACTGAGGAATCAAAATTGACATAACAACACAGCATGAAAAAATATTTTAAATGCAGTCAGACAATTTCTTTAGGCTCCTTCATATATACCCACAAGAAATCCAGTATAACAGTTCAGAGATTAATATCCTCGTTTACAGATCAAGTGCGTAAGTTACTGGCTCCTTGTACAAGGGAAGATTTGAGTACCTTCAGGAAATGCCATACAGCCTATTGTTAAAGAAAATTGGTAAGGTGGGAATTAGAGGAAAAGTAAAAAGACAAGGCAAAAAACTTATATGCTGAAGAGATGACATTTTTACATCTTTAGAACACCTTTTGTTCCAGTCATCCTGTAGCACCTGCGAAATACCATTTTCCTGTGTCAAGAATTGTCAATTTATCAAAGAGTAGGCAGAACTCAACACTTATGGGAGCAGCCATAAAGGCAACCTGGTTATAAAGGGAAAAATACAGAACAGAAGAAGGTACCTGCTGAATACTCACAGGGAAAATGCCTGCCAATCTGGGAAACACGAACATCCTTGAGAAGCAAAGCTGGCATCTTTGAAGTGCAGCTGAGTACAGAGAAACTGGAAACATCTTGAGACACCATTGATAAGTGCAGAACTAAGGAACTAAGGAATACATATAGGTGTATACTGTTGAGTAGGTTAGGAAAATATGAGCATCTTTGAACCATTCTACTAATAGTTTAGCAAACTGTCCACTGCTTATTGCATGCATTACAATATTTTTATACCCTCCACTCATTCTGACATAGAAATTCCATGGCTCTGCTCCTAGATCTGTGCTGACGTTCTCCATTGTGCAGCTTCCATACAAAGCTGTTTTGACAAGCAAGACAGGCCATGATGGCAAAAATACCATTCCGTCCCTTCACAGTAGTGAGCAGAATGCAATGTCCTCGAGTGTTTTGCTCCTTGTGCCAGGGTCTGCAGAGAGACTTTAAATCATGAGACTGGCCAAACAGCCTCAGGAGTTTGTGCCTCAGCAGCATCCTTGCCATAAACATGCTCAGGTGTGTGTGTGGGTTCTGCATGTGGCTTTGAATATGGCTTATGGAGTTTGTCCTTTCATTGAGTTAACTGGCTTTTGCGTTTATCTTCAGAGTTCAGAGAGATTGTTTGGACTGCCAACCTTAAGGACATCAATAATATGAGTATATTTAGAAATCTGGACAGAGTGAACACTGTCAAGGTACCCAAAATTAAAATCTGCAGTGCTGTCCATCCTCAAAATACAACATCTGGGGTGCATTTATTGTCTTTTTAAAATCAGTAATTAGCTGTTGATGAGTTTTTTGAGGTCTTAGCAGTAGCTGGAATATGGCTGTGAAAAATAAATATTTTTAAAATATTTGTTTAATAGGTTAGGCCTGACGACTCTTGACTGTGTTGCATTCTCTAATCCTGCTATACCCTTTTTGAATGGGTGATGTTAGTCAACACAGGATGTAACAGCATTTTTATTTTACTTCCACTACTATCCAATTATTCCTAACAATTCTCTTTGCCTTTTTGACAAATGACGAGAATCAAACTGGTTTTTTTTTTCAAAAACCTAGTCACACTGACTCCCCTATTGCTAAATTAGTCCAGCACTGCAGAGACACGTATGGTTATCTTTCCACGAGGGCACTATTTGCAATATGTCCTTGTTTTGGTCTATACGATAAGAAGAAAGCTTATCTGATGGGCAGTGAAAAAGGAACAAGCAAGGGAGAAGATCTTTTTGCTAAAGCAAGCTTTCCCATTGCATGTCAGCAGCTTTCACTCCTTCGCTGACTCCTCAGTGACAATACTAGGGAAGAAACAAATTCTGTGTCCCACACATCTCTCCTCTTCATCTAACTACTGCACTTCAGTACAGAATTTCCACAATTAGAGCATAAATGATCTTGTGCTTTTATTTTTGAGGAAAATTCTACCTTATTGACATCTTTCTTTAGGGGATGCCCGTAAGCACAGGGAAAGGGTCAGGTCTGTGAAAACTTGGAAAGTAGGTTTTGGAGCAGGGTTGGAGAAATTTCCTTCTGCAAGGAACAGATTACAACTTGCCAGTGCAAGGCTGTCAACTTTCTGGTGTTTAGAGAGTGGAGGAACCATTGTTTGCATATTTCCTTATTTTGCAGAAGAGTAACTGGTAAAGTAACACTATGTGTGTGATGTGTTTTCCACAGACCACCTGCTGCACTGATTTGCAGTCTGGGATGAAAGTTTAAAACTTACTCATCTACCTAAAAGTTCCCTCACATCTGTATGACTTAGCTGGGCATTTGGCATTCTCCATATTGTAGTATTATCTGCCATTGCAAAACATTCTGAGGAGAACAGGGGCACTGAGTGAACTGCAACGTTTTTCATTTTATTGCAAGAAGGGGGAGTTTATCAGGACTGTGAGGTCAGTCTGGCAAAGAAAATAACTTTCTGTTTTATTACCTGTGTTTATTAATTTTCTATTAATAAACTTGGCATGTCTCCTCTCTTCCAAGCATGAGGCAAGGAGAAAAGAGGGATTCTTTTGTTGCACTTATTTGCAGTCTAGTTTTTCAGGACAAATGATATTCTGAATGACATGAATTATCAATATACTACAGGATCAAGGTGAAGTACAAATCCTAGAGGATCCAATGATTCTGTTTCATTCGATTAGTTTCTCAGGCAGTATCTTTTGGTTGAGGCTTTCCAGAGAGTTAACTAAGGTGAAAACAAAATGTTTCTTTCAGATTATATTTTTGGTCTGAAAGGAGACTGGTAGCTTTCTTCTGCCTACTTGAAGCCTGCTGAAGTGCATGTACTGTACTCTCTCAAAGCTCGATTCTTTGCAGCTCTGAAAATAAAATACTGCAGTTTCTCCCATTGACTGACTCAAATAAAGTAATCTATGATGCATGAACAAGTCTAAATGAAATAATAATATCCTTAGCAGTGAAAACTGGATTGGTAATACAATAATTGAGCAGATTTATTGTCATCTCCTTGGACTAGCCTGCTGAAATAGCCTGCTAGTTTATTTAATCTCATATCAGAGGAGTTACTGGCTGGTAATCAATCATTAAACATAATTTAGAATGATGGATGAAAATGTCAGCTTTTCCAACATAATCAATCCATGTCTCATTAACACATATTATTTATGATTCTTATAATGGAACCTGAAGGAGTTTCCAGGGGGAAATGGAGACATCAGCTGTTGTTGAAATGAGATGAGATATACTGTAGTTTATGAATTAAAACTGCATATAAAAAATACTTACCTACAGTATCAATCATCCTTTACCATTTTACAAATGAATTGAGTGCCTTGGCTTTCCTCTTCTTGTGCTCTGTTCATTTTGTTAGTAATAATTCTGTGAGAAAATTATTAAAAAACATATAAGAAAGACCACTTTGCAAATTATTTCTAAGGTACAGTGTGGGGAAAAGCCCTTGAATGTAAATTAGTAAGAAACACTTTACTGCTCTATTGCTGTTCGCTAAGGATTTTGGACACCTTTCCCCCCCGCCTTAGTCCCTATGCAGACAAATCAATACATCTCTTCAACTACAGCACAATTCTCTTTTAAGGATACTTTCTACTGTATTTTACCTCAAAGATGAATGAAATCTAGATTCATGCAGTTGTTGTGCAGCGGTAATCATGGTCACAATGTCAGCTGTTACCTCAGTTTGACTACATTTGAGAATCATTTTATACTTCAACTCTTACCCATCGATAAAGGGAAATGAGCAGTAAATGACTGCCTAGAGTACAAAAGACCAACTCATATTTTGGATGAAAATGAAGATAAAATGTAGCTTTGATTTGCCTGTGGAATTCCCATTAGCTGCACCACTGGCAGAAAGGAGTTGGATCAATAGATGACTGGCCACAGGAAACAGGTTCTGTCTGTTCAGCAGCCAATGCAAAAGCAAAACTGTCATAGAGTGATCCTTATCAGATCATCTTCATATCCTGGTCAGCTAGAGGCTCATTGAATTCCTGGTCCTATTTTGGCTCTGAGCACAATGCACTTACAAATTATTTGTTCATAGTCATGAAAACCATCAGTGTCAATCTCTCTTGTTCTTTTCATAGGTAATGTACTTACTCAAATTGTTTAAGAACTGTATCAAAACATCTTTTTTCCTGCTGAAGAAGAATCTACTAGCATCTTTTCTGGTTGTTGTTGAAGCTTGACGGAAAGGATTTACTACGTGTCCTTCAGTAAGTTCTTGGAGGGTATTTCTACTTTACAACAAACGTTTCTGAGTTTATTTGATCAAAAGATCAAATGCTGGCTGTGTAGGAAAAACAAACACTCTCTACAAGCTATTAGCTTTCCAGAGGACAGCTTGTGCACACGACAAATGAGACACAAAACATAGTGATCTTAATGTTTTTCCCCATCCTAGACCTGCAGAGCAGAGATATTTTATTTCTTTTCAATGTTCTTTAATTCATATGGTTTCAAATTACTGTATGTGAGGTGAGGATTTGTATACACAAGAGAGCAATTTTGACTTGGTTGATGTATGGTTCTTGGAAGAATAGGTTTTGAGAGCACAGCACCAATTTAAAAAATGTTACTATCTGCTTATCATAAAGTAGGAGGAAAAAATCACTTCTTCATGCAATGATGACATAAATTACATTACCAAATCCTCTAGCCTAATCCTAAAAGTAACCACAATGTTTTTACACTTATTCAGAAATTTATCATTGAGCTACAACAAAACTGGTTATGCAGATTTTATGTCTTCAGAAATTACAACGATAGTGTCTGAAGATTGCCTTTTTATGGCAGCTGAAGGAGTCACACACTGGAAGGCAGAAAAGACATCTAACTAAGAACTGTTTACAGTTTTTAAATTGCAGAAAACAAGTATTTTCATATTACTACAGTATTATCAATATTTTAATATCATTATAGCCCCAAAAGTTTTAAATTAAGTAAATATTCCCATTTATTAATGTTGTTTTTGTTGTTACTATTAGTATTATTACTACTATTATTATTATTACAGTGAAGTTTTGAAAAATCTTGGCAATCAAGTGAAGTCCTGGGTGACTGGAAAAGGGGAAACATTGTATTCATCTTTAAAAAGGATAGAAAGGAGCACCCTGGAAACTACTGACCTGTCGACCTCACCTCTGTGCCTAGGAACATTATGGAACAGATCCTCCTAGAAGATTCGCTAAGGCATATGGAGGACAGGGAGGTGATTTGAGACAAACAGCATGGCTTCACTAAAGACAAGTCCTGCCTGACAAACCTAGTGGCCTTCCACGATGGAGTGACTACATCAGTGGACAAGGGAAGTGGAAGGGCTAAAGATATCATTTATCTGGACTGCTGTAAGGCCTTTGACATGGTCCCCCACAACATTCTTCTCTCTAAATTGCAAAGAGAAGGATTTGATGAGTGGACTGTTAGATGGATAAGAAACTGGTTGGACGGTTGCATCTGGAGGGTAGTGGTCCATGTCTCTGAGTCTCAGTGGATATCATGACAAGTGGTGTCCCTCAGGAGTCCATATTGGGACCAATGTTATTTAATATCTTCATTAATGACATAGATGAAAGAACTGAGAGCACACTCAGCAAATTTTCAGATGACACAAAGCTGAGTGGTGGTGGTGGCACACCTGAAGGATGGGATGGCATCCAGAGGGACCTGGACAAAATCTAGGATTGGATCCATGAGAATCTAATGATGTTTAACAAGACCAAGTGGAAGGTGCTGTAACTGGACTGGGGCAACCTCTGGTATCAATACAGGCTGGGGGATGAGCAGATCAAGAGCAGCCCTGCCAAGAAAGACTTGGGGGTGCTGGTGGATGAGAAACTAAGTAGGAGCCAGCAATGGACACTCGTTACCCAGAAAGCCAAACATATCCTGGGCTGCATCAAAAGGAGCGTGGTCAGCAGGTTGAGGAAGGCGATTCTGCCCCTCTGCTCTGCTTTGGTGAGACCCCACCTGGAGTGCTGTGTCCAGCTCTGGGGTCCCCACCACAGGAAGGACATTGACCTGTTGGAGTGAGTCCAGAGGCCCACCAGTATGATTGGAGGGATGAAGCACCTCTCCTACAAGGAAAGGCTCAAAACTGTGTTTGTTCAGCCTGGAAAAGAAAAGGCTTTGGGGTGACCTAATTCCAGCTTTCCGCTACCTGAAGGGAGCCTACAAGAAAGATGGAGGGGGACATTTTACAAGAGCATGTAGTGACAGAACAAGGGGGAATGGATTCAAACTGAAAAAGGACAGATTCAGATTAGAAATTAGGAGGAAATTCTATATACTGTGACAGTGGTGAGGCACTGGAACAGGTTGCCCATAGAAGTTGTGGATACCCCATTCCCTGGAAGTGTTCAAGGCCAGACTGGATGGAGCTCTGAGGAATCTGATCTAGTGAAAGGTGTCCCTGTCCATGGGATGGGGGTAGAACTAGATGATCTTCCAACCCAGGCCATTCTGTAAGTCTCAGTTTTTCCTTATAGAATGTGGAGATTTGGTTGAAGAATCTCTATCTAGCTGAAGTTATCTGTGATAACTCTACCACAGAGAAATATGTAATCTAACGTATAGCAAAAGGACTGCGTTTTGTATATGCCTACACTGATATAGAGAGAATATTTTGTGCAAAAATCCAGACTGGAAAAAAGTTCATAGATATATTAACACATTAGACTGTAGATGAAGACTCCTACAAAATTAGGGGTCTTAAGGTAGCATTTCAATTTCTGTCCAAATCTTAGCAGTGAACTCCAGAAAAGAAATGGGAATATATATTATAAAAAAAATTACAGACATGAGAAAACAGTGTTGGTTTATGTCAATAAACCAGAAAACATGCACATATCTGGTTTAGTTTTTTGAAGAGCACACATGCATCACGAAATGTCTGAAAGGGACGTTTGGAGATTTTTTCTTATTCATTCTTCTCAGGGGAGAGAAAAGAGAATGAAAGGTTGTATTTTATATTATGTTCTCTCCCACACAACCACAGTTTTCTGGAGAAAAAAATTCTTTAAGATTAATCCCTATGGAATTGTTCATTCACATTCATGAAAACAGAGGGACTGATACTGCCCTTGAAAGCCCCTATAAGATGGCTGTAAAAGTATTAAATGAGGCCATCTTGCTTAGCCAGCCATTTTTGGTAAGACTACTGCCAGGCTCTATTATATCAGAAAAGAAATGTATCAGCAAGAGGAGACACACAGTCTACCTTTTCTAGCAATCATAATACTTTTCCACAAACACTCAGATTTTTTGAAAAGGAATGTTTATCTTTTCTCCAAGTTTAATTCTGACAATATTGTAGACTTCTAAGCAACCTGACGGTTCAGTAGACTTGTTCCTGTCTCTTTCACACTATTGTGCTTTGCCAGTGAATGAGTCACTTCAATAAATATTCCATTCAACTCCAAAAAAAGAGGAAATAATGTTAGTCTGATTCTTTCAGTTGATTTTTGTTTGTTTTTCTAAGCACAAAACAAATAAAAAAGCACCAGCAGTGTGTGGCTTTTGGAAAGAAAAATCTGGACAGCATCGATAACAGTGAGACAATCATTGAAGCCAAATTTCATTCTGCTACAGAGAGGGAAGGTTTTTAAATTACCACAAATTGAAAACATATGGCAATCAAAAGCTGTGTCTGAAATGAGAAAAAAAATGTTGAGAATCAGCAGGTATCAATGGCCTTTGTATATGTTAATATTTCACTTCTAGTGAATGAGAATTAGGTTTAGTTAACCAAAATGCATTCTTGAAAAGAGATGGCACTGACAAAGGGAAATTTTGGTGTTTATTGTTAGTAAACTAAGCATAAGTTTTAAACAGAGCCACCAGACAGATTTTTTTATTGTTGTTGTTTGGTTGGTTGGTTGGTTGGTTGGTTTTGTGGGGTTTTTTTGGGGGGAGGCTTTTTTTTTAATAGTCCTAGGGAAATCAAAACTTAAAAAAAGGGCCACTGTATAAAAGCAAAGAGGAAATGGGACAGATGATCCAAGGAGCAGAGAGGTTGCAGTATATTGGGGGTGAGAGGTCTGCCAGATGCAATTAGACAATGTCTTATTCCCCCGTGGGATGTTATTCGGTGATAAATACTTCAAGGTTTTGCTGTTTTACCTAATTTACTATATGGTTTATAATTAAAGCTGGGCTACTACTTTATCATTAGACTGCAGACATAAAGGAACACCCTTCTTCTTTTATAGCAACGACTGATATTTTAATTCGCTTTTGAAAAGGTGGATGGTAAAAGAAGAACTAGATGGTGAGATTTGAGACTGCTAAAATGCTGCCACAAACATATTCAGTGCACAACTATGACACAGATGAGTATCATTTTAAGGCACAGTTAATGT